GTGATATCAATACAAATACAAAAATGTGAGATAAGACCGAAATATGTCGTTTTCTGAGAATGTAGTGTACAATCAAAAACTAAGTATAGGCCAGTATGACAATAATATCTTTAAAGCTTATTTAATCCACTTTAGCTGAAAAAACACTAAATTCTGCCAAAAACATGTCCCCAATACAATCCTGTATCCCAAGCTTGCCTCATCTACCCTATCATTCCAGCTGCATTATGGCACAACAGATTTTGCTCTCAACAGATAGCATTCAAATGTGTCCTTTTTAGTTTGGGGAAGTGGCACTCATTCAGCCGGGCCATGTCAGGCCGTTCAATCTAATCTGCACTTCTCTTGACATATTGGCTTACGCCTGTTGTGCACTACGCCATTTGACAGTCAAAATCAATGTGGCTTAAGTAGAGATCCTGATCCAGCAGCAATCACGTCAGCAGCCCCACCTGCCTACTAACTCCTTAACCCCTGCCGCCTCTATGCGGACCTAGTCGTACACAGCATCATTTTCAATCTATTTCATCTTTCCAGTATGAAAAAACCCTCATTGATTTAAAACTGCCGGCATGATCGAAACCTATGGTGATGTCTCTTGGGGGTAAAAATTCCATTACCATGTAAAGCAGTTTCCATTTCTATCCCTCCGTTCCTTTAGTTTTATTGCAGATGAATTCAACAGGTTACTTGGACTTTGGGCAAGATTGAAAACCTTTTCCATTTCATGCACTTGAGGATGTGAGTTAAATGGCTTTGTCAATACCATACTCTGTATTTTGTTTATATCATACACATTATAGGTGTAAGTATATTGTTTTGAGAGCCATTTGGATCAGACAAAGAGACATTGTAGATTTTACATTTTTTGTTGTATTTCAGCTATGTGACCCAAAACAGGGTGATTCAAAAACATTTTTATTTGATCACTTTTGGCACATTGACACAGCCACATTTCAAACTGATTAGCTTTGTCTCACATTTGAAACTCCACCTCAGTTTCTTCTCTTCTATATGTGTTTCATATCTATTTGGTATCATCAAAGGCTATTGTGGAACGATGTGATTATACAGAGTGAATCCCTGGGACAATGGACCGTCATGAGTGACGGTGCAAGTCAAGATAAATGTAGGAGACATAATGTAAACCTTGTAAACAGATATATGAAAAACATAAGCAATTCAAGCAAAACACAACCAAAATAGTTCTAAATTGTCAAATTAAAGAAAATGGACCCAGTTTCGGTCCTAACCGCACATCCTCAACCTGTTGAGGAAAGTATTTTAGGCCTTGATACTGTAAACACCCCCAGCACGGAAAAATACAGTATAGAATAATTTCACAATACAAAACCAGCAGTGCCTGTCAGAGATGATTAATGCTTTTCTTACGAAAAACAGCGCTTTCAATTTTTTCATTTTAAGCCATTATGTATACTAGAAATGAACAAATCAAGGTGCGTTATTATTTTCTGAATGGCTGTAATTGGTGCTCAACGGCACAAACAATTCAAAGAAAAATAGGAGTCATCTTCAAATCATTTTTAAAATGTTTTCTATACAGCTTGCATCTCTTAACCACAGGTGCAATTTTTTTTCTACACTTATGAGGACATTTATTCAATTCAGTTGCTCTCCTAACCCTAAACAAAACGTTATTCCTAACTTAATTCATGTAATTTTAACCTGAAGATTTAAGAAAAGGAAAGCTTGCAAGACGCTGTTTTGAGGGCAGAAGCACAAAAACACAAATGAACACATTTTGTGCTGTAGCTTGGGTATAAAGTTAGTCCTCTGTCTGCTCTAGCCTCACCCTGGCCGACCAAGCCTCGCAGCATTAGGGAAACATTACCACTCTTAAAAGAATGTGCAACACACTCCTTCATGCATTGTTTGTCCTGATGGATGACACCCACAGCTAATGCAAACCAGAACCCACAACAAAAAATAAGCCTTAATGTGGTTAGGACATAAGCATCCTACATCCTCACTGACAAACACACGCACACATACACCAAATGAAAATTAAAAGAGCTACATTAGCCAGAGCAGAGCACTAAGGGAGCATAAATGAATAGCATTATGAAATGAGAATTGTCAATTGGCAGCAAAGATTAGTTGGCCTGAGCTGTTCTGTTTTTCTATGATGGAAAAAAACATTCTCAACATGGGAGAGGCTTTAACCAAACAGCAGTCTGAACAAAGGTCAGGTGATTCTAAATAACCAACAAGCCTTTAGGACACAAAGGACCATAATGAGAATTATTAGCATCCGCATTTGGATTAGTCATGTATATCTAATTCCCGCATGAAGAGTCTTTATCATTCATTTTTATTTATTTATATTAAGGACTGCTGTGCCTTGCATGGTACACTACTAATTAGGTTTAAGTGTTTGAGTGATGTGCTCTGGCAGCTCTGTTCTGATCCGCTGCTCAGTTAATCAGTCCTGCGAGCTCCAGTGCAGACATAGCATGATAAGACATAAAAATAATTCACTAGACTTGTGTACAGTTTTACACTGTGAGTAGATAGAGATCAGGTTTACATTAATCACAGATACCATACAGCTCTGTCCATTTCATTATCACTATATTGAGGACATTCCATGCCAAGCACAACTTCTGTTGTTTACACTTACGCCTCTTAAATTATAGATTTGTCACTTTCATCGCCGTTTCTCTAGGTTGAAGAGTACATGGTGTTGCAGTGCACATGCTTGCATTTATCTTACAAGGTGCCAAACGTACCTGTACAATTACAGTCCCATCATCATCACGCTGAGTTCTCATTCAACAGAAACGCTGTTTCTAAATTTGTCCCTCAGTCGAACTGGTGGGGAATTCAGCAACACTATATGTATATGGCTCAGTCGGCAAATCATTTCAAGGTTATCAAGGAGACAGTGGCAGCCCTTATCTAGGGCTTCATTTCCTTTCTATTATGGGATATGGCAGGGAGCAGGTCCCACACCGCAAAGCTGTTCTTTAAGGGTGTACTGTGGGGCTATAACATCACTTCCCATCTGGTCAACACCTTCCCTCCACTCTTAGCCGTGTCTGGGTGGAGAGAGAGGGAGCGAGGAGGGTTTAGTGAAAAGGGACTGGGAAGAGGTGAGAGCTGTGAAAGGAGGGAGGATAGAGGAAAGGCAACACAACATAAAAAATACAAAAATCATAAGAAGGGAAGCTGGCAAAAGTAGTAATGCAAAGCCTGTTGAGTCAGAGCACAGACATTGGGGAAATCAGAAAAGCTCAGAGCCTGTTTCTGTAGAGAGGCTGTGTGTGTGTGTTTGTGTGTGTGCATTTGTTTGCTACACAATTCTACCCAAACAAAGCACAAAAAAAACCCAGAATAAACACTGTTGCAGACAGTTTCCTAATTCCCTGCACACTTCTCATAATCGAAAGGTAGACACCTACTGAGATCTGTGAGAGTAAGATCTTTACCAGTGGTCTGTGGCTGGTTTAAAATGTTGTGTCTCCACTTCTGGGAGAGAAACAAATATGCACATCTTGGGAGGGAAGGAACTCTTTTGGATATTGAATGCAAGTATGAATACAGTGTCTCTGAGTCCCACATTCCTGTTGTGATGCAGTTCATAGAGAAGAATTAATTTTTCAGTACATTCTGGATTACCGCATAGCCACAGATAATCTTCTGACTGACAAACATTGTGATTGAGTGATTATTTATCAGAACATTTAAAATTGTAAAGATAATATGAAACACTACAAGGACCACTGCAACCCACTGCAACCTAATGTCTTCTTAGATATCCAGCAGGGCAACATTATCATCTGATTGGAGTCTTGTTTGAATTGTTTTTGGCCATCTTATGAATTTAAATGAAATTAAATAATATTTTTCTGTTTACCTCTCTTGTCTCCACCAATTCCTAAGAAACAAAATATGGGATTTATCAGCTTGATGTTCAACTTTCTGTATGTTTTTTGTTGATTTAGTTGTGCAAAGTTTTTATATTTTATAATTATTGAATAATTAATTCTCATTTATAGTTATTTACTGCAAGCATCAAGCTGTCAAAATATGTGTCTGTTTTACATCTGAGCTGTGAAATGTGTGTGCAGCCTGGACACTGTTACCGAAAACACTGGTGTAGCAGTGTGAAAAGTAGCAAATTTAAAATAACAAAACAAAGTCCTGTCACAGTGTGCAATGATGCATATACAATATTTCACAATGCTGATTCTTTGATGATTGAGTGTGTGTGTGTGTGTGTGTGTGTGTGTGTACTGTAATGTATCTGTAACTGTATACTGTACACAGTAGCTATTGTTTCTGTGTGCTGTTGGTGTTTGTATGTGTGCAAGGTATGGCATTCATAAATTGAATTTCTCATTAGGGAAGTAGGCATTAACAGTGCATTCACTATATGTGTTGTCATGACTTGTATGTAAAAATGAAGGGATGGGCAAGAGACAGGGGGAGGGGAGAGTGGGAGAGAGAGATTGTTGATGAGCTGGGAGCCAAACAGAAATCAGCACAATTTGCTTAATGAAATTAGGGACAGTTGAACTACACAAAGCCAGCCGTTGGTTGACAGAAGAAAGCATTTACCGCAGGACGGCAGCTCGCTAACACACAAGAACTTGACCTGAGTGTGGTGTTGTCCCCCGACCACACGCCTGCTAGTCTGACTCCACACCGCTCGTAAGCTCTCAAGTGAGGCACCACCTCGCACCTGGCCACCTCTAAACCTCTACTAGACCCAGGGAGTCCAGAGTGGGCTCAAAGGGGGGCATGCATCAACAGACAAAGGAAGAAAGGGACCCTTCCAAAATGGAAGGGAATGAGGAAACCCCCATGTCGGCTTCTGCTGAAGCCCTGGACAGTCCCTCCTCTGAGAGTTTGGGAGCTCAGGCAGAGCAGGCCCGAGCTACTCTAACACCAGACCCCCGCAGTGGATGTGGGTTTTTCTGTCAGCCCTGGTGTCTGCTACTCGCACTGACCCTACTCCTGCTTTCTCTCCTTGGCAGCTGGGCAGTGGTCCACCTCACCCTGGGGACCCACGGAGGATCTCCTTTTCGAGTCTCGGCCAGCTACGATCAGCGGATTCCACAGGATGACACAGCCACCATCGAGCCCCACTTCACCACCAACTGCACCATGGGTAAGTTGGCATATCCATTCCTTTCAGAAATGGTTGTAGGGTAATGGTGATGCTGCCCTTTACATAGCCACTTATATCTTTGACCTATTGTTGATTTTGTTAAATTTAAAATTTCTGTGAAATATGCAGAACTAAAAAAAGATCAGTTAATCTGTAAAACAATCTTTACATTAACCAACAACGAAAAATATTTGTTAGGGGAAAAGAGTACAAACAAATGTATTAGGTGAGCTTTCTTTTGTGTTCAGTTGTTTTCTTTGTGTTTCCGTGTTTCTTTCTGGGCTAAATGTGTCTCACATGTCTGCAGAGTGACCAAGTTCCCAAAGCAGCACAAACATGTCAAACTGGAAATTGCTCAGCTCCATTCTGTGATTTTTAACTTCATTACACCATGTTGTGCAATGAAATGCGTAGACGGCTCGAGACTGAAATAATATCCTTCTCTGTCAACCTCGAAAGCTCCTGAAATTGGATTAATATAACTGATTCAATTTCCTCTGAGCTAGATACAGAAACACAGCAACTCTTGCTTAAACATTTCAAGTTTGCATTGCTGTGGAAATATGTATAAAATGTTTCCTCTAACAGACAGATGTTTGGTAGGCAGAGATGTCAAAACCAAGCAGGTGATGTTTTAATGGAACATATTGTACCATTAAAACATCATAATCATTATTTTTCATTAATCATTATTTTTCAACCAGCTACTTGTTAAAAATAGGCATGAGATTCTGAGTGAGTGAAATGGTGAGTGTCATTTCAGGGTTATGTAAGAAAAGTTACCCAACATGTTTACCAGACCAGTGGTTTTTAAACTGGGGTCCTTGGACCAACAGAGGTCCTTGAGTGGGTTGTAGGGGGTCCCCAGAAAAAGGAAGAACAGAATATTTTAACTTTTCTGAATTTTTTTGGAAGTTAGAACAACAAGGGGAAAAAATTGGTTGGGCGTTTTGATTGATTATAATTTATAGTGTTCCTAGTTTGAGCTTTGATTGAGTATGAAGACTTTCTTTATCTTCAATCTTAAAAAATAGATATTACAGATTATTGGATTTCTATTAAATTGAAAGTATGTGGCCTAATATGCATCTATTGTGGGGGTCTTAAAAGTAAAGCATGACCAAGAGAAATGTTTTACCAGTAGCTCCTTATTATGGACTAAATTAAATCTGGTAGCAGCACTCAAGAGAGATCCGTACTTGTACTTGGTTGTTGCCCTCACAGACTTACCTTTTTACTGAATCTAGATTTTCAATATTAATAAATGTATATATTGTAATATAACATTATCATGCTTCCCTGTTTATTCACATCAACTTTGTTCATGTTCTAGATGTTGATATTTTACTGTGCATGTGTAAACAGACATTTTCTGAATTTTTTTTTTTTTTCAGTGTAAAATGTTAGATAGGCTTCTTAGTTTGCAGTTTATTTGTGATTTATAGTTATTCCAAAAATACTCTTTAGAGGCGCATGGGATACTCTTCTGTGCTGTATTGCATCTGCACTACAGGGAACATGCTGAATGAACTATAAAAGCTGTCTTTGACATTCAAAAGCAACCCTAGTCCCCCTGCAACCTGAATATCTAAACAAAAACCAGTGAGACCAGATTTATAGATTTATGGAGATTCTAATGGAAATTCAGTCAGTACATATAAAATATGGCCTTAGTTTGTGTCTTATTAGTATTCATTTATTAATTGTGGTCTCAAAAGTGTTCTCTAAACAGATAACATGAAAACACAAGAAAAGGTTGGCTTAGTTTGTTTTTCCTTTGTTTGTTTGTAGGATAGTGGCATTAACAAGGCTACTGGACACTGTATACCTGGGAATATTTCCTTGTTATATTAGCAACTGTTTCCTACCTATCACCTTTTATCATCCTCAGTTGCCCTAATTTATGGCTAGAGATTTTTGGGCGTATCACTTGGGGCGAAAGACAGACAGATGGACCAGAATCATGCGCAACATCCACTTTAATCCAGTTCATGTAATGCTACACACCAGAAGACATTCAACTATCTCTTTTTACAGAACCATACATTACATCCTAAAAAAATTCTTCATTCCCCAAGGCTTTTTGAATTCAGACAGATGTGCACAGTCCAAATTGAATCTCATCTACTGTTATTGAGTCAGAGTATCTTTGAGCTCTACAAAAATATAATAGCTTTTATGCTCGGTCAATATTTAGCTCCGGATAAATGAAAAACAAAGATTTTTCTAGCTCTAATTCCTCAAATTCGGTTCAAATGGGATGTTTGGACTTGAGGTCAGGTAAGAGCAGTTAGCTACAGGGAACAATTCATAATTTGATGCATCTGAGTTTCTCACAGCTTGCCAACACTCCAGCCTGATAACAGATCCAGAACACTCCCCTATTACGTTATCTGCATCTAGTTGTCAAATATGTAAATGATGTGAGAAAGAGAGGAGAGAGATAATGAAAAAGATAAAACAATGAACATTTAACTTTAACTCCTGCTTTAACCTAGACTATCCTAATCTTAAACTTAAAACTAAGTTCTTGTTCTTAAAGTAGTGCTTGATATAAGGGCTGAGAGGATCAGGCACTTCCCCAAATTGTTCCCGGAATCACTTTGCATGAAAGTGCGAAACAAAAAAAATATAAAAGTTCCTTAAATTCACACACACACACAAACAATCTATCCCCCTAAAGTATCAGTGATTCTTTGTCTAACTGTCCTTTCTGTCACTGTAAGGAAAGGGCAGAGCGGGTGCTGATTTGCTCATGCAAATCTAGCCTCGGTTGAACAGTGTCTAATTGTTCTCTACTCTGGGTTCACTGTGTTCCTCTTGCCAGGCAGCACATAAGCCATGGCTAGTAGAAAGAAAAAGCATGCAGACGTGCTGTACTCTCCTCAGGCACCACCTGGGTCCCCAGTAGAACACCCACTACACACATCCCACTCTCAAACTAAACCTTAATCCGTCTCGGCACGCTCACCGTGTGGCCTCGCCACATTTTGCGGTGTTCTAAACCTCCCCCACTTTCCCCTCCAGCACCTGTCACAAACCTGGGCTCGAATTACCTTCCTTCCTACCTAGCGCAGAACATGAAGCCAGGGTCCTCGATTAAGGCTCTCATACTCATTCCCTGGCAAGGACAGTTGTTTGCTGTATTTCTTCCCGGCCCCTGCATTTAAAAGTAGCTGATTACTGCTATTAATGACGTGTATTTGGGGCAAAGCCTAGTCCAACTTGGGTTTGATTAATTGTATTTAATTTGGACATAATGGTTTGAAGTTTTCAGCACAGAGAAGTCTTTGGACATGTTTTATGTTTCCTAATGGTATGGTTGCATAATGGTTTCCTGCAGACAGATTTGTTCTAAAAAATTCTCAAATCAGTGAGAGAGAAAAACATGCTAATGATTAATTTCATTTATGCCCTCTTGTGGAACGTTATTATGTGTTGTCTTTTGGAAACGTCTGCCTTAAGATATTAACAGTCAGAATTCATAATGTTCCCAACTTACTGTCAGCTGATTCAAATTCATCTAAATCACATACATAAATGTAGTCTTAATCAGCTCTCCTTGTGATCTTTTGAAACTGAATTGGAAATTTAACAATGTCCATTTCCTCCCTCTTAGTTGTTTTCTTGAGCAGAAAGGCAGCGATTACTCAAGCCAGTGAAGTGCGAGGAGATATAGTCAATACAGGATAAATAAATGGAGCAGTGTCTGACTTCTTTCTCCATACCCTTCCACTTTAATTAACTCATCAGTCACAGGGCCAACAAGCAATCCAATTTGTTGCCCCTAAAGTGACTTGTGTGGTTATATGCCTATCTACAGAGCTCATCCTCTTGACAGGAAGTTAGAATCCCGCCTTCTGTTAGTATTTTTCTGATGGCTGTGGCACAGCCGCACAGAGAACGTAATTATTCAAGCACAGCAAACCCCGTCAATGACACTCTTAACCTCCTACAGTTTCTCATCCTGGAAGTAAACAGAGACTACTGTGATGACTGACAAGCTCATTACCAGGTTGTGTCAACAGAAGATTTGACTTTGCCTCTGTCAAGGCAAGGCAGAAGGTCACATTTACCTTTACACTTATAACAATGTTTGTCCATTGAAGAGCATATTTGTATATGTGCTCATGTATTACCCTGCAAACTGTCACAATTAATTTTTCCAATTGGACATGTAGCTGAGACAAGGCAGCGGTGAACCCCGTGGGAATTTGAACCAGTGACCTTCCCTTCCCTGGCCCATTTCCCTAACCATTACACCTTGCTGCTGCTGCGGGCCCTTAATGGAGCGTTACGGCGAGTCTATACTTTGCGATTAGGTACACTGCAGCATGAGGGTGTCCCTAGGCCCATCAATCACACCCGGCCCTGTGGAGGCAATGTGGGAAATGGGTTTGGTGAAAGCCAGTGGAGTGGACAGAGTGTTAGACATGTGGATGGATGAGCGATGGGTTTTTTTTTTTTTTAGAGAAAAAAAAAAGCCATTCAGTATCACTGTGGTACTGAGACTAGCCTTTAAATACACACAACATATCCAGTTTAAGCTTTTAATTGAGTTTTCAATTTCGTTTTGACTGCATGAATAAAATAAACTCATCCCTTGAGCTTTTGTTATTGGGTAACAAGCACAGGCTGATATTCAACAAAAATAAAAGCCTCACACTGTAACAACAATCACACACTCGTTTTTATGAAATCAAAAGAATGTCAAAATTTCAGAAAGTGTATAAGGTTTGAGGGATGTCATACAGTGACGCAGTGCCCCATAAGGATGAGTGATAGAGTATAACTACATAACATTGTTTCCCATCAGTCAGCTCTGCATTGGCTCATCAATCCATAGAAGCACGTGTGCAGACTGAATAATGTCGAGCATATTGCATTTTTTTTAGCACAAAGTGTGATTTTTTTCTGACACACAAAAACACATCCTGTACGTAGATCTTCAGATACTGGATCAGTTCTTTTAACAAGATTCTACTTGTAAAGTTTTCAGT